AATAAATTGATCAGAATTAACTAAATAATATAAGACACACAAGATTTTCAAAACCGAAGCCGCAATGAACCAATATTAATTGTGCGGAACCAAAATATCACATACAGAAGCCGACGCACTAATTGGATCATTGCAATTGAACTTTAAACATACAGGATAATCAAATTCCCCAATAATCGATATGAAGGGTGCTCTCATACCACTTGTTGGAATAATCCAAATACTGTAGAGACCTTCACATCAAATTATTAAGAACTATACGAAAGCGGAAGCGTACCTTAATCTGTAGCGGCAAGAACATTGATTGGTTTGGCTTTCCAGATGATTCCGTCAAGTGCTTACGGGAATCTCTAACAAATGGGGAGTCGGAGATCTGGCATGACGGCTCATTCGGGGACCACAACCAATGTATAATAGGGTTTTTGGTTCTACCCATCATAGAACAGGAAACTGGGCCTTAGGGTTTCTACATAATGCTGAGCCACACCTTATAACTTAATTATTATAATTAGCCCAAACTTTAGTTGATTTAATTCGATCACTTTATGTGGGCTAGTATTTTATGATAGCTTATAACATACAATTTTATATATTAGTGTATAAAGTTCACATAGATCTTACATTCCTTACATAGAAAGATCTTGATTAGGAGCCACAAATTCTAAGTAACTTAATTTGTTTTGGTTTACCCTTTATATATTCGAGGATTCATAGGGCTGAAACTTCAACCTTAGAAAAAAAATATTGTTTTTAATAACTACACTCAATTGCTTCTTGTTGGCTAAAATTTAATATGAGGAATATTTTTTTTCCCTACAAAATCCATTTCACACGAATTTTATACAATATTTTCAATACAGGTGCAACGCCTGGGATAAGCACTAGCGAGTCTTAAACATACAGATGATTATCCATTTCTTGTCGATTGTAAAACATATCGTTATATAATATTTTTTAAAAAGTATCACTAGTATAGTAGCCAGCAACATACCTACTTGAATATAAATTCAATTTCTTCAAATGCATTTTCTATATGGTTGATTTTTTTTATTTGACAAAATTAAAACCATTTATTTGGTGTTGTTCGTTCATGGCCTCACCATATCTGCTCCGGCGATTTCATCAAACTCACTTACCAGGAGTGATATGAGTTCCTTCACACTGTGGCCTCTCCTACCTGGTAGCGTTGTGGTGGATATAGCTAATCGTTGCAACATTATGGATCTACTCGTCTTACTGGGAGTGTGTAGCGTTTGGTGAGCTAATTTGATCAAACTACTGGCTACCTTGAAACTTCACTTGGCTTTCTTATTTACTAAGATGGGAATGATGCTTGTTCATTCTACTGCACGAGTGAAGAGGAAATGAAAAAATAAAATTTGTGTATTTCAGAACTAAGGGTATGGATTGTATCACATCAAAAGAAGGTGGCAGCTTCTCAGGAGCCCCCATATCTTGTATTTCTTCTACCCTTTCTCATATGTGGGAGATTGACTTTAGGTTCTTAGGTCTGGGTCAAGTAGCTATTTTCGTAGAAAACTCCTTCTACTTCATGGATGCCCAGAGATAGTCATTGTGCTTCTCGGTGAACAACTCATCTTGAAGTACACATGTGTAGGCACCCATGGGAAACACGAGTTCATAGTACGCACTCATATGGTATTGATGTGTCATTTTATTAAAAACCATGCCAACTTTCATCAGATGAGGGGTTGGATCACAGTGCAAGTAGAGGACTATATGTCAATCTCTGGCAGCCAGCAACTTTAACCCAAACATAAACTTTTTCTAGCCCAATAACATATATGAACATCCCATATTAACACAATTGAACCACAACATGGTCCTTAAAAGTTGTACTTCATATTTATTCGGCCCAATTTCCTACATTTGTTCATCTGAATTATTCTTTATGCCTTAATTTTTCACGTCTATCAATTTGATTTTCACAAATAACCAAAAAAAAAAAAATACATTACACTATTAATTTGATCATTGGTCAAACTGGTCAATGCTCAAGATTCTACACACAAATTTAAATTACTTTAAGCATGAAAATTTTATTTTTAAGGATTATCCATTTTGTTCCTAAATGAGTCGTAGAAAAAAACTAAACAAATAATATTCATTTTAAATCACATAAAATCTCATTAATCTTTTTTTTCAAAAACTAAAACCAAAAATAGAAAAACTATTTGGTGTGTTTAACTATTGAAGTTTTTACAAATGTCTTAATAAGATGTTCTATTATGACACATTTGTTTAAGTGTATCAACAAAGTTCCAACAAGTGTAGTAATAGATAAGTGTCCCAAATATATATTTTTATTGGGACATAGAAATTATAATGTCTTAACCCAAGTGTATTAATAGGGGGTTTCTCTAGCAGTCTTTCTACAAGTCAGAGGAGCTATTAGCCGCTAAGGATGCAAAATAATTCGCTGTAAAGTTAGACTCTCATAAGTTAGATTCTCATTAGTAAGCTATTAGCCGCTAAGCATATGTTCTCCATCCTAGTCTAGTTTGAATTTTTATTTTTAATTCAATTTATTAATGAAAATCCAAACTAAACAATAATTTCTTACATCAATCATCAATTCTAATTGAAGAGGTTGCTTTACAGCACTAACTAAGCCTCTGTTCATGCCCAAAATTTTGTCATGTCCTTGCACCAAGAAGAGAAAAAGTATAGAGAGAAATGATAAAACCAACATCTCCAACAACCCGTGCTAGTGGGGATACATGAGCATATTCAGAAAACGGAATGGAATCAGGTATAAATTAATCAAAAGTATTCATTATTGATAATCTTGAACGACTACAATGATTGTATATTAGCTTTACAAAAATGAAAGCCAGGTTGGAAGTTGAACGACTACAATCATCCACTTGTAAATTAGCTTTTCTTTTAGGAAAAAAAAAGGAAAGAAAAAGACAAGGTGGCAGCAACTTGAGCCATACGACAATAACCAAAACAATATATTAATTTGACGAGTTGACTATGTTGTCTACAATTTCTTCACCGTGCAAACTAGAGAATTTACTTGTGCTTTCAATAAATAAATAAATAATTAACATGACTAGTGGTGAAGGCGAATTCTGACTTGTCTTTCTTTTTCTTTGGACAAACACACTTTTGGTGCATAAACTTTGGGGGGTCACAACTTCGTGTTACCATTACATTTTGACTGATGAAATTGGTCACCGTCTATTCGTTTATTCACTAATTTTAGTCAATTTAAAGGAATTTATGGTCAACTAACGGTCGACTCTTTACTCCGTTATGTTTTTCATTTTTTTATTGATTTTTTACTGAACTGGGGCCCATAATGTATTTTCAAACAACAAAACCAGTATGCTAATATCTTTTTTTCAACAATTTTAGTCACTTTAACAGAATTTTCAAAAACTTAATGGTCCAATTCATTTTTCCATTGAATCTTTTTTTTTATTGATTTTTTAATGAATTATGGGTCCTACGGGTGTTCGATCAGATTTAAAAAAAAAAAAGAAAAAAAATTAAAGGAATGATGAAAATATTTCTGGCCAAAATATGCTCTGTTCATTCGTGAATTTCACTGTATTTTTGGGTTTTTTATACCAAGTCACAAAAACTAAGATAAAAAACCATGAAATTCAAGAATGAATAGAGAATATTCAGAGATGGACACTACGACAAGAACAAAATGTTTGAGACAAAATCGAAATTAAGAAAATGAAAGAAAGAAATGATGAAAGGGATGACTCAAACAAAGAGGGCTGGTAGTTTAATTGGATTACCCGAAAAATAAATTCCAAAAAAAAAAAAAAACCAACAACGAAAACGATCAATAATGAGACTCCTTTTCTGGGCTACTTTGCCAGCGGGGAGGTGATTGTGAAACATCGGCGAGTAGAGTATTGGGGTTTAGGAAGTTGGCCGGAAATAGTTTCATCATTCCTTTAGTTTGTTTTCTTTTTTTTTAAAAAAAATTCTGAGCAAAAACCTGTGGGATCCATAATCCATTAAGAAAACAAAAAAAAAAGAAGATTTAATGAAAAAAACCTGAGAAATTGGATTATCCGAGAATGGAAAAAAAAAAGAGGGCTATAATTCAATTGGATTACCCGAGAAATAAATTCCGAAAAAAACCCAACAACGAAAGCGAACAATAATGAGATTCCTTTTATGGGCTACTTTGCCGGCAGGGAGGTGATTGTAAAACGTCGAGGAGCAGAATATTGGGGTTTAGGAAGTTGGCCGGAAATATTTCCATCACTCCTTTAGTTTGTTTTCTTTTTTTAAAAAAAAAATCTGATAAAAAAACTTGTGGGACCATAATCCATTAAGAAATCAATAAAAAAAATAAAGATTTAATGGAAATATGAATTGGGACTTTAAGTTTTTGAAAATTCCGTTAAAGTGATTAAAATTGATGAAATAAAAGATATTAGGAGACTGATTTTGTTGTTTGAAAATACATTGCGGGCCCCAGTTCAAAAAATTAATATAAATTAAAAAATTAACGAATTAAAGAGATGACCGTTAATTGACCATAAATTCCATTAAATTGAATAAAATTGGTGAATAAGCGTAAGGATGGTGACCAATTTCGTTAGTTGAAATTTAATGGTAAGTCGAAGTTGTGACCCCCCAAAGTTTAGGGACCGAAATTGCGTTTTGTCCATTTTTTTTCCTGCACATTTAGATAATGTCCATCTCGATAATTTTCTCTTTTAAGCGTGACAAACTTCCCTTTTTTAATCATAATTTTATTTAAGGAACATAATAGGAAACTCAATTCTTTTGGAACAAAATAAGGCAAAAATAGAATTCTTCAATAATATTTAATCATTTTCACCCTTTAGTTGCTCTGACCCAAAAAAAAAAAAAATCCAAATTGAGGTTTCAATTTTGTACTAACCAATGTGTGAACTTTTTTTTTTAAGCACAGAGGTAATACAATATTTTATGATAATGGTAGGGAGGGCTCATTGGATATGTAGAGAAAAACACAATATTTATGAACCTTGAATTTTCATAGTCAAACTAGATCCCGCCAACTTATCTTGCATCAAGCTCTGAAGGCGTTCTGCCATATCCGGAGAGAGAAAATCAACCCAACCTCCAACTTTTCCCTTCCTAAAATACGAACTGTGTTTACTTTTATGCCCATGAGTTTCGGTTTCACCATTTTTGTTGCACTCTAAGTTCTTGAGATTCTGGAGACTGCAAAGCTTAGCTATCTCCTCAACCAAACCTTCATTCTCTTCCTCCTCCATGAAACCACATCCCAAGAATTCTGCAATTTTTTTCACAGCAGAATTGATATCTTTTATAAGATCCTCATATTGTAAGAACATGAATCTTCGAGGGTTGTTTAAGCTTGCCTCCCAATATCCCAAAACGTTATCCCAAAATGGACCAAAAACAAATGCACCCTCGCCAAATGCTTGGAAGACTTCATCGATAATCATCGATTGCCCTAGATATATCCCTTCTGGAAAAATGCCATTTTGCAACATGAAATGTGCATAAGATGTAAATACATCTAAAGGGTTTCTGCAAAGATATATTACTCGACAGTGTGAATCTTCTAGATGGTGTTTGGAAGGAATTGATAAAGTGAGTGTATCGTGAAAATCCGGGGTTCAGGCATTGATTTGGTATCGATAATTTTGGGTCTTGCCTATAGCTCGACCTCTAAGAACAGGACAAGTCCATGAGGATTGTTGTGGAGTAAAGGACTTTTAGAAACCAGATACTTTTCGCGGTTACAATGCTCCAAGTCAAGGCTTTAAGCCATGTTGTACCTGATTTAGGAATGGTGGCTAATATTATGTTGAAATTACGAGCCTCCTTGAAGTGTTCCCGAAACCTTATTATGCCAGGAAGAACCGCTACATGAAACCAAAAACAGTTGAATTGCGCTAACTCATGGCTGCATACGTGTTTTTTAGGTAATTCTTGTAAAAGCTCTTCAAGCTGATCCGCAGACTTCTGTCCCATTTATTTGGATTGATATGAAGAAGAGGGTTTTTAGTTTATTTGGATATTAGTGTGTGTGAGAGAGACAGAGGAAGAGAGATAGAGATGGATATGATGTGTTTGATTCTATGTAAGTGCAACCTTTTGTAATGCTCCACTAGCAGCCTAGTTGTTTTATTTTTAGCTAAAGTCAATGAATTGATGCTCCACTTGTCGCCCTAATTGGTGTGTTTTTATTAGTAATGATACACAACTCACCCAATTCATCTCATTGTTGTATCTCACCTTAAATGACATTTAATGATTGGGTGAAATTTAATTGGTGAATTTAATTACTTCTTATTAAATATATAGACTTTTTGGATATTTTTATATCTAAAATTTTAAAATAAATAGACCCTAACCTAGAAAAAAAAGTAAACCCTTAAGGGAAAAATTACAATAATGCAAATGCTTTATCAATTGGGCCAATATTAATAACAAATATAATATTTAAATTGGGTTATTTAGATGTGGTGTAGGAAGTGCTGCACCAAGTGCAAGAAATTTATTGTCCAAGGTGGTTGCAAAAACGACATGTCAATTTAATCATAAAATATCAGAATATATATAGAATTCATTCTCAACCAAACCATCTTAATTTGGTGTTATGTCAATGACAAACTTATCAATATGTTTGGCAACATTAGTAAATACCGTTTGGTAAGGTGATTGATGAGAGCAATTTACATTCCGATTGTCAACTGATTCTTCTCATCAATATTCTTAAATAGAGGTTTTAAAGACGCCACATAATAATGATTTGATCGGAGAATTGCTTTACGCTTAATTTGGATATATTCTAATGTTAATATCTTTTTGTTGATCACCACAAATTCTTCAAATTCTAACATGTTATATCGTCCAAAGTTAATTTTGTTGTTTTAATGAGAAAAAAGGAAGACAAATTAGGATAATACAAGAGGAAATTAAATTTGAAACTTGGTCATAGAGAAACAAATGATTTAGTAAATTGGCGTTTGATGAAGTCACAATCTATATTTTGAAAACTGGCTCGGAAGGCGAGCTGGTAACCAAGTTGTGTCATTGGATTAATTGCTCTAAAAAACGGATTAAAAAAATATTAAAAATGAAATTTGTTTTTAAAAAATTGATAAATTTGGTTCTGTTGACTGCACCAGGTTCCTAGTCAAACCGCAGTTCTATCCGCGTTTGCTCAAGTCTGTCCGGGTTTTTACTATACAATGTTTTTTCAAAATCCGTTTCGACCAGCTGGTCCAGTTTGGTGTTAACGAAATAGATCACAACACACAAGGTCATGTATATTAGTAAATAAACTTGATTGGTCCAATTAATTGGGCCATCCAGGGTCATTAAGTTAGATCACAAGTATCATTTAGTTACAAGTTCTAGCTCATGAAAAAGAGAATTCTAGAAAATATGATATTAAATATGTATAAAAATATCTTGAGGAAAAATCTAAAGATTAGAATAAAATATCAAGGTATTTAGATGTTGTAGAAAAATCTTAAAATCTTATATTCTATGTACAACTATAAATAGGGGTTTGGCTCTTTAGTGTAAAGGGTAAAAAGAAGTTATAGAGAAGTTGTTAAATGTCTTAAGCTAGAAGCTTAATACACTACCAGTTTGTTCTTTTTACTACAAAGAACTAAACCCCTCTTTCTCTCAAAATTTTCTCTTCCATTTTCACTTCCTAAACTCACAACCTAAAAGGTCCTTTCCTTAGTACCCACATGGTTCATTATCTAACAATGCATACCCAGAAGATTATCAATTGCCCATCTAGCATGAAGATAGTTGTCTCTAGAGTTCAGATCAACAATCTTTTTCATATGCACGTGTTGTTTAGTAAACAAATTTAAATATTTGGATACAGGAGATAATTTCAAACTAAAAGTTTCATATGAGAATTTGAGGTTCAGATTTGACAGAAAACAAAATCATCGCCTTTTATCTTTTCCAAAGGGATTGAATATTGGGATACAGAAGGGAATTTCAAATTAGAATAAATATATAAACTGGAAATTATCTGTTGACTTATTTGTCAATAACGTGAAGTGAAAAAATTACCACAAAATTTTTTCTGTTGACCAACAATTTCCTTCTCGCCCTCTACTATCTCAACCACACTTAGATTGTCAACCTCCGCTGTGATATTCCGCCTTCCTATCTCCCAAACAAAATGCAAGCCCTGGAACAACCTCTATCACTGAGCAAGGTAAAAATCAACATTCATTATGAAGCCACCGCATCATCAACCTATATGGTCTCTCACAATCCCTCATCCCCCTGTCCATGCCAGTGTGCGTATTAAACAAGCCATCCATATATTTTAATTCATATTACTCTGGTTAGTAGACACTATTTATTGCACTCAGTGATAACATATATTAATTTTCAATGTTGGCCACAATCAGACTGGCTTGGGGCTTGTTTATAGAGTATAATTAGCAAGAGAGTAAAAAGGACGTATGGAAATATATACTCTATATGGGCCTGTATGATAGCTCACATACAAGTATGATTTAAAATGAGACATAAGAAATATAATTCTTCTTTATTTTTAGTTTTATCATAAACCGCCATGATAGAGTCATATAGCACTATACCAGTATAATGTCATAATACATATAAATAAATGTAATATCAGAGACACAATTTGAGGTCGTAGGTTAAAAAATTATACAATATATAAAAAATTTAATTATATTGGAAAAAGAAAGACTCTTGAATCCAATTGCGTCTAACAACCAAAAATAACACGGAAATAATAACAAGACAACGACAACAATAATAATATAACTTATATCATAAACCAATCATAATACACAACACCCCTGGGGAAATTGTCCACGTACACTTACTTAAGGATATAGTTAGCAGGTTTGAACAACGCTTAATTATTATAAAGGTTTTCTCATCTCATAAGCATTCAGGGTCCTTTGATGAATCTCTGAATAGCCCAATATCAGAGAATTTGAAATTATCATAGTCAAACCAAATCTCGCAAACTTATCTTGTGTCAAGCTTTGAAGGTGCTCAACCATGAAAGGAGAGAGACAATCAACTCAACCTCCGACTTTTCCCTTCCTGAAAAATGAACTATGTTATCTTTCACACCAATTTTGTAGGGCTTCACCATTTTTGTTACATTCCAAGTTCTTGATATTTTGGAGGATGCAAAGTTTTGCTATCTCATTAACTAACCCTCCATTCTCTTCCTCCTTCGAAAAACCAGTATACGTAAGAGTAAAATGGTAGATCATGTGAATTATGATATGTATTGCAGCTTAATTTAGGAAGACTAGTCTTAAGAACGAATATATTCTTTCTGTTATAGTAAACAGTCCACATTGATTTTTGATATTTGTATTAAGTAGTAAAAATCTTAGAGCTCGTCAATGTGGATTAGCCTTTTGGATATAGAGAGTATTATATTTATCTTAAAATGATTGTCCCGATTGAATTTTTCTTACTGGCAATTTGTATAAATAATATTAAAAATTCAAACTGAACAATAATTTCGGGACAAAAGAGTAACGTGTCACATGCTTTAATAAATATACCACCCCTTATCATCCAAATCTTGTCTGACAGCATCAAAATGTTATGCACGATGAAGTGACCGTAATTCTATTGTATATTAGATGAGTTGTAGTCTATAATGTCTCATGAGTGCATTTCGTACTATGTTTTTAGGCATACAATTTACCTCTTTATACTTTAATTATAGGTCAATTAGGTTGGGTTTATATAGTTATAGGCTAATTTGGTGACTTGTGGTTGTCCAGGGACTAAAATGCAATACATGCAAAAAATGGGGCAAATGTGGCAAATTGATGAAATTTCAGGCCAAATTGGAAGTTGCTGCAGGGACTGATCGTGTAAGGGCTGAGAAGAGGAAGAATCCGGCGCAAAGAAGGCCAAATTGGAGCAATCCTTCAAAGCTAAGGAAGAAGAGCCGTTGGTGAAGTGATGTTGCTGACACTGGGAGAAGAGTGATGTGCCGAAAAGCTGAATTCATCATCTAAATCTCTTCTAATTCTGATTAGAGGTAAGGGAGAAGTTGGGAGAAGTATGGGTCTCCTCTATTTTGCATAAAACCCATCGGGTAAAGAGAAAACCAACATGGCTAAACAAGATCTCTCCCCAACCTCTATAAAAGGTAGTAGCAGCACGAAGACGAAGGCATCAAAGTCCAGAATACAACTTAAAAGTAGATTGTAGTGTAGCTTAGTTCGGTAGGAAGAACCCGAGTATAACTCTGGGAGGTAAACTTAGTGGTGTCACTTGGGGAAGTGAAAAGCTGACTCTGCGAAGTCAGCTGCACTTAACCACACTCCCTGACATTACTCTTCCCATGTTTTCTCTCCTTTCTGTTGTAATCAGAATGAAGTCTCTACACCTGAACTTGGTGTTGTTTGAGCTTCACTCAATGAGTAGCTAAACTCATTGCTAGGGTCTAATCCCTTTACTCTATATAATTATGTTTTGATTCATGCTCTCGGATGATATTGGTATGCTTAGTTCTAGAGTTTATCCTTTTAGGTTGAACATGCCATTCAAACTAATTGTGCATGCATTGGGGGGGGGGGGATCTCAAAAGGGTAAACTTCACTTAGAACATCTATAATTAACCGGTGACGAGAGGGTAACAGCCCAAGGTTTCAAACAACAACGGAAGTTAGCTATTTGGCACGAGACAATCGTAAGGGGATAAGATCTTAATGGTTTAGTAGTAATTTCGAGTCGACAACGGAAGTTATTTTACTTGTTACTACTAGGACTGCTGCTTGGAACAATCAGAATGACCTTATAGTATTTATGTGCCTGATTGAATACAATTTTATACCACATAGAGAGCTAAAAGAATCAATACATATGCATATAGAGTAGAGTGGAGGATGAACCTAGGCTGCCATCACTTTGCCAAGTCACGTACTCACTTGCCATTCTACTGTTTTTGCTTTGTCTTGTGTTCTGGTACTAGATCCCAATTTTCATTAAGCGTTTCTCGTCTCTGTGGGATCGACCCTTCTTATCACTTGCTACAAGTTTTAAGTAGATTTATTTTGGTGTTCTCGACACCCATCAACATCCGGAGTCATATCCAAGATGATTGATTTGTAAATCACTATTGCTTCCCCAGGAGTTAGATAAACAATTAAAACTGGGATTCATGTGAACAAAAACGAGTTAAAGCTATCATGGTTTGAGTAGTTGATTTTCCATAGGTTTTATTTAATCCTGAAAAGACATTATGTAATTCGTGCCTTAGGCTTTTCAAATCATATGATTTCACAAACACGCATTTCAGTGGTTGGTGAGATTTTTATTCAAATATTGGACTTTGATTGGTAAAAGAAATGAAAAAATCACCGCACTAATACTCGCGAGGCTTCATTCTGACTTTTGAGCTTATTTGCAATGTGTGTGTGGAGGGAAAAATACATTGTTTTTTCAATCATCTTTTCGTTAAGTTGCACTTCGTGATTCATAACTCCTTAATAATTTAAACTAGCTTGCGGATACATATTCAATACATGCAAATGCAGAATATATAGTTTATTAAGCTAGAGAATTTTTTTAATACAATGGAGTCAAATGTCAAGTCATAATCTATTAGTACAAAGTGCAGTCAGGATACTTTGACGATATTGTACATTAAACATGGCTTAACACCCGGAAAAGGTGTATATAATCTCACTACTAGAAAAGTCCCTATTTTAAGACACTTGTTAGTGCCTTATATGTACATTTTTGAGACCCTTAAATATCTATGTATTTACCTACAAATGGAATTAACTAAATTGGCGGATTGGGGGTATTAAGATGTGCTCCTTAAACCTATATTTCCACCAGCATAGTCATCCCAGAAGTATAGTCAACACGTTTAGGAGCCTTAAATTCCTATGTTAAAAAAAGAAATTATCACATCTTATCCCTTATTTAATGGGATAATATAATCAGGGAACAGAATATGCTGACATGCACATTGGATGTAGAAAATCACAATATCAATAAAATTTTCACAGTAACTTATGGAATTTGTAGTGCATTTAAAACTCTCAAAGGATTCATATCAAAGAAATTATACTGGAAATCAAAAAAAACCAATCAACTGAAATTTTGCACACACGTATATATCTGCAAGCTTTCTGTGCATATCATCAAGCACTTTCCAAAGACACAACAAATCTCAAAATATTTGCCTTTCAGTAACCATTATCATCACAAATTAATCTTCACAAATATACTGTCAGCCAATGCCCAACCTGCATAAATACATCTATTATCGTCATATGATCCTTCAGCATACCATTCCTCCAATTCGCAAAAACCAGATTTGTTTTGCACAAATGTGCATATCTGCAAGCTTTCTGTGTATATCAACAATCACTTTCCAATCACAGAACAAATCATAAAATATTTGCCACTCTGTAACCATTATCAACACAAATCAATTTACACAAATATACTATAAGAGACAATATGTTACCTGTATAAATACAGCCAACATCCTCACATATCCTGCACCAGACCATTTCTACAATTTGCAAATCTCAGATTTTCAGATTCTCATATGACCCTTATCTTACTTATGGCTGAAACAAACCAAACTTCAATTTCAGTTGTTGAACCTGAAGATTTTGTTGAAGCTGTGAATGAAAATGCAGTGGATAATCCAATTGTCATCCCATCTGAAGATGTCATTGCTACACCACCAAATGATGTTGGTGCTACAGGTGTTCCCATACATGCTGCACAAAGATACATCGTTGACATCAATGAATTGTTTGATACAAAAAAACCATTTCACCACAGTTGTCAAAGTGATGACACTTTGGGAGGTTCCAGAAGTATCCAAAAAAAAACAAAGTCAAGTCTGTTAAGATGTGTTTCATTGATGCTCAGGTATTCACTTTTCCACCATAATTGGTTTTAGAGTTTTCTTATGGACAAACCAGTTAAATTGTAGTATATGTTATTAACTATCTGTATGTATATATCAGGGAAGCAAAATTCAAGCAACCATTCCTGGAAGAATTGTGAAAGATTTTGCAAATTCTTTCAAAGAAGGTTGTGTTAGACGATTATCAAGATTTGACAGTTGTCTCAATATTAGTGGGGGGGTTCAGGTGTGCTAAGCACGAATACAAAATTGTGTTCATGTTAAACAGAAATGTTGAAGCTGTATTTGATTTTGACGTCCCAGATCATGTGTTTGAATTCACACCATTGGCTGAAGTTACAAACTTTGTGGCCAACTTTGATTATTATTTTGGTGAGATGATTTTAAAGTTGTGGTAAAATTTCCCTATAAAATTTGTATAAAAAGTTTAAAATATTTGCAACTATGCAGATTTGATAGGCCACATCATGGCATACAACGATCCAATTGTTGAAAATGGAAACAAGAGGATTTCAGTGGAGCTTGAAGATGAAAGGTCAATGTTACTTGAAATTTTACATTCTAAACAGAAATTATTCATTTTGGATTATACTGAAAGAATTAAAACATTTGTACTAAAAAAATGTCTTTTGTTTTGCAGGGCTGACAAGCTAAAGGTTACTTTATGGGGTGAACATGCTGATCAAGTCACTAAATACATGTCTAACAATCCTCCGTCTCCTATGGTTCTCATTGTTCAATATGTTAAGTGCAAAAAATAATACTGTGAGTACTCTTTAGTGACTTATATGTAACTGGATATACTCATATTAAATTCAAGTTTTTGTAATTGCTATAATCTGAGATATAATTTTTTCACTGTGTAACAGCAAAAGCTTCTGTACTATTAATCTTTTCAATGGGAAGATATATCTTGATGATATGTCAATACCCGACATATCAGAGTACAAAGACAGGTATAATTATTGTTACTAACTGCTATAATTATCACCATATAGTTGCATACTGTTTCTGTATCAAACAGTTGCAAAATTGCATCATTACTGTATATATTTTCATAACAGAAATCTCACTATATAATTCCATTCACCTTGAATGTAAAGTCTCACATACCATATAGTTTCATAATTACCGCTTTATTCATATTGTAATTATTTGGAAACAATATATACAGAAGTAGTTCCAATGAAATGAAAGCTGCAAGTATCCAAAAAATTTCAATGCTTTCACACGGTTCTGGATACATATCTTATGAAGAATTCATAAATGGAGCAAAACTTTTGTCATTGGGTGACATAGATGATCTTGATGAGGTAATATATTAATAGTGATAATTATTTTATCCTTTGCGTACGTAACTATGTTATCTCCATGATCTATAAATGGTTAAACATATGAAAACTATAATTTTTCAGGCAGGGTATGTTGTGATTTTTGGTAAGATCACAGGCTTAGCAAAAGAGTATGAATGGTCATACATTGGTTGTAGAGATTTCAACAAAAAGGTGGAGGAAATTGAAAAAGACAAAGGTACCCGTATTGTACCATCAGCAAAAGGAAGAAATACCAGTGACAACAAGAAATTTGGTCTTGAGAAGAAATGGTTTTGTGGTAATCATGGCCCTGTGTCTGCTGTTGGTCCAAAGTATGTTTCAATATTTTACAATCTCTTTTTGTGATTACAATATTAAATAATATGTTATAATGGTGACTTTTTTAGTATGTTATTCTGTTATAAAATATTTTCCTCCATGATTTTATGTATAGGTTCAAGTTACAAGTGTATGCAATGGATGCTACTGGCAGCAGATTTTGACCCTTTGGGACAGGATGGTCTACAATTTTATCAATAAGTCTGTAGAAAAACTCCGTGAACAGGTATTATTCATTGTTTTTAATGTGTACATTTTATTACTACAAAGGTTTTATGTTTTTTTATGACCATCATCATGTATCCAGGCAGGAAAAGATTACCCTAAAGTACTAGATGAAATTGTTGGTAAGAAATGTCTGTTCAGGTTGGATGTCTCTAGATACAATATCAGGAATAGTAGTAGTGAGATTTCTGTTGCTAGGCTTACTACTGATGCTGAAATGATCAAGAAGTACATTGATGATGTTTCGGAAGATCAGGTTTATTCTCTTTTTTATATGGTCATATACAGTTTAATATATTTGCACTTGATTTAAAGAGGATGCACATGATAATCTAAGTTTATTCCTATATTATAAACAGAAAATTGATCCGGAGATGTGTGCAGAGTTTTACCAAAATATGACACCTACCCAGGATAGTACCGCCAAGGTATAATATACTAAACAAATATATTTACTTTATTTAAAATAGCAATATTTGGATGACACTTACATGTTTCATTGTTTGCAGACTGCAGTATCCTGTACTGGAGATACAGAGATAGAGAATTTGGTCGATGACATGGCTGACAGTCCTCCTCCAAAAAATAAAAGTGCAGGAAGTTGCGGTGAAGACAGTGTCAAGTCCAATCCCAACAAACGTGTCAGAAAACTTTGATGTCGATGAAAGCATTTGCTACTTCCTGCTTTAACAATAAATATACACTTTAGTTTTTTAAGGTGTTCCCTATAGCCAGAATTGTTATTCTGATGAAACATTGTTCTTTTTACAGTCTTCTCAGTACCGTTATACTGTTTTGGTGCTGTGGATATTTTATTTCTGTTGGCATTTGACCATTCCAGTTTTTTCATGATTAATATCTAATATTATCCGGTTTAATGACATTTTATTTCTACTGATGTGTTAAAAATTTTTATACATGTCATTACTAGAATATGACATCTTCAAAAGAAGTACATTTACTTTTGCAGTTGCTTTTATAAACAATAAGTTACCTTTTGAGTAGTAGTTTATGAATTACAAACAAGAAGGTGAAAAGAATCTTGTGTGAATATGCAGTCATAAGAGTTATACTATAAAAGATTAGTATAGTTAATATTAATATAGTAAATGGTTTGAAGAAGAAGGGGTGTCTGTTGGTTGCTACCATTGAATCCTGAAGTTAAATAAATGAAAGCACACAGAAGGAAGGAGAAGATGAAGATGAAATCACAATGAAAGACTTAATTTATTTTTATTTTTATAGGAACAGAAATAATTTTTATTTTAACGTTCAATTGTCAGACATCAATTACTGTTATAGTAAAAGTCAATGTATTCTGTTTTACTTAGAGAGTTTAAATGAATAAGAAACACAATACTTCTCCAGGTCCTAAAAGAGTGGAGATTCATTATAATCCTGTTTTTTTTTGTGGATTTGAAACGATGCTAAATACAAAGCATATTATTACTCTTTATACCTTTCCTGATTCTTTTCAATCCCAATTTTTTTAGGGGTTATCTTCAATTGTCATAAATAGGAGATAATATGTGCGGTGATTTATATACACTTTTCCTGGCAAATCATCATTACAGATCAAATTTACATAACAAAAAAACCATACTCCATAAGCCCTTTTTATATTCAGATAGCATATAGACTCTGACCATTGAACAGACTACATTGAAGTAAACAATGGCAGAGGCTTATGATCAATTGATTAGTGTTCCAATAAATATTCGCAGAAAAGGTTTGGTAAGTCCTTTATAATTTTCTAATTGTAAATAGATCGATTATAAAAATCCTTTTTTGTATGTTACTCTGTTATAATCCTTACTGACAACCAGTTTTATGTACATTATTAGATACTTAGCAGTAACTTAACTTCAGTCCTGAGGCATGTTGGTAAACAGATCAAGATTGATTTCTAGGGAAATCGATATTTCTATGCAAATATCCATATCACTAGGAAGAGGAGATGTCAGTTATATGGATCTGCACTGGAAGCTTTTTCCAAGGAGTTTGGAATATCTTCCAGATCCAAAATTAACTTTGTTTATCACAGATCACTGAATGTGTTACAGTTATTTCATTTTAATTATGATGGATGTGAAAGGATTCACTCAGATGTCAATGCAAGAACTGGTAACCGCTATCTGTTAACATTAGATCATGGTACATCCAAACAAGCTGTAAGTTATTAGTGTTATTAACTTTTATAATTCTTTTGTTTTTTGTTACTTATCTTCGTACTTTACACTAAATAACTATTTCATAATACATATAACTGGACTAATCATAGGGATTTCATGGTTTTTAGGCTATTAAAAAATGTTTCTTTAATGGTATTGATTGGCCTTCAAATCAAACTACAGCAAGGTGTGTTGATGTTAAGCGCAATCAATGGGAGTTAATGATCTTGAAGGAAAATAATGAACCAGTAGGTTTTAAAGGCCGGATGTGGGAGGAGTTTCATGACTATTATTATAACAGAATAAAATGTGTGAATGTAATTCTTATTTACACTGGAAATTTGTATTTCCATTTAAGGCTTTTAACCAATGAAGGTTACTGCTGCAACCTAGATATTGTTGATTCAGATACATCTGAAGGTGTGTACCTACTGTTTTTCTTATAATTAATTCATTGAATTCAACTAACATTATTATCATAATACATATTCTAGTACTAATATTAATTTATATTCAGGTGAAGTTGACACAGTGGACTATCTATGCAGTAACGGTGATCCTAACACATTTTTTGCAATCATGAATGACACTGTAATCCACCATGGCAGATTGGTAATAAAATGTGTTTCATATTAGTTTACATCCAATAGGGATTCGATTAAATTATTAAATTATAAACAATTTTTTAATCACTAATGACAATCCACATCGGTTTGTTATTGAAGATGATATAAAGTACATGGTGGATTTGAAGAAAATACCTTTAGGTATAACTTTAGGATTTCGTATAGATGCTCGCAAGGCATGTAATAAAGAGTATCTGATTATAGAAGTCCTGTAAAAGTCACTATATTGTATTTTTTATTTAATTCTTGTGAAAACAATGCAATTTTTAGGCTTTTTTATAACATATTTTTTTAAACGTGCCTATTTTATTTTATATACACTAACAATGTATAGAAATTATCCACAACATTTTCAATTGGATTATACACTAAGAACGTATTTTAGTCAATTATATACAATGACAGTTAAAGAAAATAAGACTGTGAGTAACAAACCTGTAATCAAATTGAGTTAAAAAAATCCTCAAAATAAGAAAATCAATATAAAAAAATTATTCTGTATTTTTAAAAAATAATACAGATGTACAGTCAGAAATTATTGTGGATATAAAATAAAAACAACTTGATATGGCATAAATGAATAAGTATATCAGATCCCACTCTTTTAGGATGACATTATTATAATTAATCATATATATTTGATAGACACAAAAATTTTAGCCATATATAGATCAAATTTTATCAAAACTTAAGATACTACTTCACATGTACATTAACAATCATTATTATACTATTATGTTTTGAATCAAAGAGCTTTGTGAATTACTTTTACATCTGCTTTCAGAAAAGTTCATAATGGTAAATTCTTCTGCAAAAGAAACAAGATTGTTCAGGAAAGATTTATTAAAAGCAAAAAGTTTGTCGCTTCAGTCACGCAGAAGAAATAAGCAAACAGTGGTGATCTCTACAGTTCCAATCAATGATGCTGTCACTGGTAAGGATGCAAGATTTACCAGGAATCAGATTTTGAAAGGTCAGTTAGATGGAGGTATGCATTCAGATACAGTACAACTTTAAAAGCATTCAGTAAATCTACCCAAAGTGGACCGTATCAGTGCGAAACATTCAAGGATGATAAGAAAAAACA